CGCGTTCCTGTTCAGCATGAAAGAAGCCAGAGTGGCCTGCGGCCTGATTCCCTATTGGCAATTTGGGTAACCTCTTCAGAAGATGGTGTGATAAGAATAGGAGGTAGGAATTTGCTAGGCAGTTAGGGTAAAAAGACCCCAAAGAAATGCAGCCAGTTTCTTGGCTAAAACTCATAATATCCTTGGGCCTCTTACCAGCATACTCCGTTCCAAAGGCCAAAAATGTCAAAAATATTTGGGAGCTTTTATCTAATCCTTAAAAGATTTTAGGGTTACCTCTTCAGAAGGGGGAAGGAGGGAGTGGGCATGGATTTGATCAAAACACCTTATATGCATGTATGAAATTCTCAATAAATTATTTATTTAAACACACACACAACACACACAAAAAAATAAATAAATAAATTATTTTTCTGAAAAGCCAAGCCAGGTGTGGCAGTGTACATCTGTACTCTCAACCCAGAGAGGCTGAGACAGGTGACTCCCTGGATCTCACTGGTCACTCAATCTAGCTGAATTGGTACAGTCGAGGTTCAGTGAGAGACTGTCTCAAAAAATCAGGTGGAGTTATTGAGGAAGATGCCCAATGTTGACCTCAGTCCTACACACACACACACACACACGCACACACACACACACACACACACACACGCACGCGCACGCACACGCACGCACGCACACACGCACGCACGCACGCACGCGCACACGCACACGCACACACACACACGCACACACACACGCGCACACACACACACACACACACAACCTCACTACTATCTTGTATTAGAGCAATTACATATACAAACAACCATTTGACCTCTCTAAGCCTTAGTTTACCTCTCTGTGAGGTAGAAGTTACATATATATCACAAGGTTCTTACAAAGAACAGGTTAAATAAATGACCTGTGCAAGCAGGAATTGCCATCACCACAGCAGCGTGCTCCCACCCTCCCTTCCCTTTCCTGGGACATGGCAGACTTTGGTTCAAATAAAACTTAGACAAGACTAAGACACGACCCATCCCTCCATGGACTGAAATAAGTCAAGCATCTTTCTTCCCCCAGCGGATAAAATTTTATTGGCAAGTCAAGGGGAAGCCGGGGTAAGGGTATCACTCCCAGTTCTACCCCTCTCCCAAGGGAGTCTCACTGGCAGCAGGGCAGGAGCCCAGGATCCTGCCAGCTCACATGGCCTTGGGGGTAGGCAGGTTGTTATAGTGGGCTTCCTGGCCCTCAAGCAAGTTGCGGTAGGTGGCAATCTCCTGCTCCAGCCGAGACTTGATGTCCATGAGCTGCTGGTACTCCTGGTTCTGCCGCTCAGTGTCAGCACGCACATCACTCAGCTGGGCTTCAATGCTGCTGATCACGCCCTGGATTTGAGCCAGCTGGGCTCCATAGCGGGCCTCGGTCTCTGCCAGTGTACCTTCCAGGGCTGCTTTCTGAAGGGAGGGTAAAGAGACATGACTCAGCAGGGCCCAGTTCCTGGACAGGGCATGGGCACAGCCACCAGCCAAGCTGCCCAAGGCTGCAAGGGCACAAGTGTGAAGCCCACAGGGCAGAGACACATACCATGCTGAGCTGGGACTGCAGTTCAATCTCAAGACTCTGAAGGGTACGTCGAAGATCAGTGATCTCCGTCTTGCTCATCTTGAGCTGTTCAGTGTGGCCAGCAACCTCCCGGTTCAGCTCCTCAGTCTGCAACAAAACAGAGCAAGGAGAAAGTAAGCACTGAGGGTTACCTCTGGATGGGAGACATCAAGGCTTCTCTCCCCACCACCCTCACAGGACACCTACATCCCTCACATACCTGGGTGATGAACCAGGCCTCAGCATCCTTCCGGTTCTTCTCCGCCATGACCTCATATTGGCTTCTCATGTCACTTAGGATCTTGGCTAGGTCGGTGCCTGGAGCAGAATCCACCTCCACGCTCACCTGGCCACCCACCTGACTCCTCAGGGCACTGATTTCCTGCAAAGACATAATAGAAGTGGGTACGTCAGGGCCCAAATATGTTGGACCTGGACCTGGACCAGGTCTCTCTCTCTCTCTCTCTCTCTCTCTCTCTCTCTCTCTCACACACACACACACACACACACACACACACACACATGC